TTCCCAGTGAGTGCTGTTTCCTTTCCAAAAGTCCTCGGTGGGCTGTGTGGAAATTTAAGGTTCTTTGTTCCTGGGAAATCATCTGGAATTCTTGCTGCAGGGCAAACAGTAGAAACATTTTTGAAGGAAGCATTCGCTTCATGGGATGCAGAAATCTGACAGCATCACTAGGTGGAGAAAGTGTAGTTTGGTTCGGAATTTTCTCGACTCCCCTCTCCATTCCGCAAACCCTCAGAGGACCAGCGAGGACGCCCCTCTGCGTCATTGCGGCGCCAGGCCACCGGCGGCCCCTGGGGGCCCGAGACGGGCTCCCCCGGGGAATCGGGAGCGCAGGCCGGGCGACGGCGGCCAGCGCGGACGGTCTCCGCGAGCCGGCCTCGTGCTGCCCTCTGCTGGTCAGAGCGTGAACTGCCACCGTGAGACCTGGGAAGCGCAGCTTCGTCCTGTCCACCGGTTTTAGAGAAAAACCAGCAGACGTTTTTGTTTTTGTTTTTTTTTAATTTTAATTTTTTTATTATTTATTTATTTATTTTTCATTTATTTTTATTAGTTGGAGGCTAATTACTTTACATCATTGTAGTGGTTTTTGTCATACATTGAAATGAATTAGCCATGGATTTACATGTATTCCCAGTCCCCTCTCCCACCTCCCTCTCCACCCGATCCCTCTGGGTCTTCCCAGTGCACCAGGCCCGAGCACTTGTCTCATGCACCCAACCTGGGCTGGTGATCTGTTTCACCCTAGATAATATACGTGTTTCGATGCTGTTCTCTTGAAACATCCCACCCTCGCCTTCTCCCAGAGTCCACAAGTCTGTTCTATACATCGGAGTCTCTTTTTCTGTTTTGCATATAGGGTTATCGTTACCATCTTTCTAAATTCCATATATATGTGTTAGTATACTGTAATGGTCTTTATCTTTCTGGCTTACTTCGCTCTGTATAATGGGCTCCAGTTTCATCCATCTTATTAGAACTGATTCAAATGAATTCTTTTTAATGGCTGAGTAATATTCCATGGTGTATATGTACCACAGCTTCCTCATCCATTCGTCAGCTGATGGGCATCTAGGTTGCTTCCATGTCCTGGCTATTATAAACAGTGCTGCGATGAACACTGGGGTGCACGTGTCTCTTTCAGATCTGGTTTCCTCGGTGTGTATGCCCAGAAGTGGATTGCTGGGTCATATGGCAGTTCTATTTCCAGCTTTTTAAGAAATCTCCACACTGTTTTCCATAGTGGCTGTACTAATTTGCATTCCCACCAACAGTGTAAGAGGGTTCCTTTTTCTCCACACCCTCTCCAGCATTTATTGCTTGTAGACTTTTGGATAGCAGCCATCCTGACTGGTGTGTAATGGTACCTCATTGTGGTTTTGATTTGCATTTCTCTGATAATGAGTGATGTTGAGCATCTTCTCATGTGTTTCTTAGCCATCTGTATGTCTTCCTTGGAGAAATGTCTGTTCAGTTCTTTGGCCCATTTTTTGATTGGGTCATTTATTTTTCTGGAGTTGAGCTGGAGGAGTTGCTTGTATATTTTTGAGATTAATCCTTTGTCTGTTGCTTCATTTGCTATTATTTTCTCCCAATCTGAGGGCTGTCTTTTCACCTTGCTTATAGTTTCCTTTGTTGTGCAAAAGCTTTTAAGTTTCATTAGGTCCCATTTGTTTATTTTTGCTGTTATTTCTAAAATTCTGGGATGTGGGTCATAGAGGATCCTCAGACGTTATATCTTTCACTTTCCTCTCTGGCCCAAATCCCTGCCTTACTGCAAAAAGCGGATCGGGAGTGTGTGTAATCGGGAGTGTGTTTTTGCTGTGTCAAATGAATTGAATGCTATCTTCAAAAATGATGCTGGAAGAGTCTGTCTCATCTTCAGAATGCTCCCGAGACTGTTTCACCCTGCCGTCAGTAACAGAAAGTAGCAGACAGCGAAGTGTACTGAGGCTTCATCGGAAAGACGGGGCTCAGCGCCTGCTAGTGGACGAATGACTCCAAGCAGCTTTCTCATTCCAACTTCAATGTTCTAATTTTTAAAATAGAATGAACATATTCACCTTGCCAAACTTTGAGAGGATTCAACAAGTTAATGTTTAAAAAAATATCTGATAAACTTTTGAAAATTAGAGTTTATCTAAGAGGTTATGGAATGCCTACTAGTAGATTTCACTATTTGAATTTTTCAAGATTACATTAAAAGGAACAGCAAAGAGATTAATTTTGTCATTGAGTCTATTTTAAAAGGAAGCCTACTTCAACACTCAGTTCAGTCGCTCAGTTGTATCCAACTCTTTGCGACCCCATGAATCGCAGCACGCCAGGCCTCCCTGTCCATCACAAACTCCCAAGAGTTCACTCAAACTCATGCCCATCGAGTCGGTGATGCCAACCAGCCATCTCATCCTCTGTCATCCCCTTCTCCTCCTGCCCCCAATCCCTCCTAGCATCAGGGTCTTTTCCAATGAGTCAAGTCTTCGCATGAGGTGGCCACAGTACTGGAGTTTCAGCTTCAGCATCAGTCCTTTCAATGAACACTCCGGACTGATCTCCTTTAGGATGCACTGGTTGGATCTCCTTGCAGTCCAAGGGACTCTCAAGAGTCTTCTCCAACACCACAGTTCAGAAGCATCAATTCCTCGGCCCTCAGCTTTCTTCACAGTCCAACTCTCACATCCATACATGACCACTGGAAAAACCATAGCCTTGACTAGATGGACCTTTGTTGGAAAGTAATGTCTCTGCTTTTTAATATGCTATCTAGGTTGGTCATAACTTTCCTTCCAAGGAGTAAGCGTCTTTTAATTTCATGGCTGCAGTCACCATCTGCAGTGATTTTGGAGCCCCAAAAAATAAAGTCTGACACTGTTTCCACTGTCTCCCCATCTATTTCCCATGCGGTGATGGGACCAGATGCCATGATCTTAGTTTTCTGAATGTTAAGCTTTAAGCCAACTTTTTCACTCTCCTCTTTCACTTTCATCAAGAGGCCCTTTAGTTCTTCTTCACTTTCTGCCATAAGGGTGGTGTCATCTGCATATCTGAGTTATTGATATTTCTCCCAGCAATCTTAATTCCAGCTTGTGCTTCCTCCAGCCCAGCGTTTCTCATGATGTATTCTGCATATAAGTTAAATAAGCAGGGTGACAATATATAGCCTTGACGTACTCCTTTTCCTATTTGGAACCAGTCTGTTGTTCCATATCCAGTTCTAACTGTTGCTTCCTGACCTGCATACAGGTTTCTCAAGAGGCAGGTCAGGTGGTCTGGTATTCCCATCTCCTTCAGAATTTTCCACAGTTTATTGTGATCCACACAGTTGAAGGCTTTGGCATAGTCAATAAAGCAGAAATGGATGTTTTTCTTCAACACTACATGTATGCAAATGTTGTATTATTACTTGTATTAAAATTAAAGATGAAAAGTAGCAAAACTTCTAAATATATAAAATTATTTCAACAGTCATAGTGCTTAGTCATTTAGTCATGCCCAACTCTTTGTGACCCCACGGACTGTAGCCTGCCAGGCGCCTCTGTCCATGGGACTCTCCAGGCAAGAATACTGGAGTGGGCTGGAACCCAAGAATACTGGAGTGGGTTGCCATGCCCTTCTTCAAGGGATCTTCCTAACACAGGGCTCCCCGTGTCTCTTGCACTGCGGGCGGATACTTCACCATCTGATCAATGAGAAGAGTCTGGTCTGCAGAGCTTATTGATTCCACAGCAGGGATGGTTTCCTCTCCGGGCACGCTGGTCACTGTCCAGAGCGCTGCTGCCCACCTGAGACACACGAGTCACACACAATGCCACGACAATTAGGTGAAATTCCTAGAGCCCTGCTGTGAGTGTGGGAAATTAGTCTGCCAGTTAATAAAGACTGTTGTCTTTCATCTCACTTTCTAAAAAAGAGCGGTCTGGCCTCAGAGCCTGTGGTCCTAAATTTGAGTCCAAGTCTGATCCCCTGGCAAACTCCTCTCAGGTGCTGGACAGGGTCTTTGAGACGGACGTGTCTTAACCCAGCGGACACAGAGGCCAGCAAACCATTCCTACCCAATGCTGCCAGACCGTCCCCTCCGCCCCAGCCCCAGCACGTGTCCTCTGCGCCCTCTTTCCTGGCTATGACTCTCGGCCGTTACGCTGACCCTGGTGTTAACTTAGACTTGGCGTCTTCCGTGATGACTTAGGAGGCAGAAGACACACGTCACACTGGATTTTCATTTTTCTAATTACGAAGTGAACACATGCTTAGTGAAATTTTGACCTTACTGAAATATAAGCAGGCCACAACGGCATTGAAAGGGTCCCAAAAGCTACATTGTCTTTGGTGATGAACATACGGCGTGTCAAAATGTGTGGAATGCAGCTAAAGCAGTGCTGACAGGAAAATTTCAGAAAATAAGAAAAGTTTCAGGGCAATAATATAAGATCCCAACTCAAGAAATTAGAAAAAGAAGGCTAAAACAAGTCCAAAGCAAAAAAAAATGATAAAGGCAGTAATCAATATTATTTAAAACAGAAAAACATCAAGAAAATTGATGAAACACAAAGTCAGTTCTTCTCCTTAAAAATTAACAAAATTGACAAACCTTTAGAAAACCTGAGAAAGATAAATAGAATACACAAATCAGCAACATCAGGTATAAAAAAATAAACATAACTGCAGAGCCTGTGGTCACTAAAGGATAAAAAGGGATTTATGTGAACAAGGTATGTACATGTGACGACTTAGGAGAAAGGGACCAGTCCCTCGAAAACCACACTCTGCCAAAAACCAACCAAGATGAAATAGATAACTTGAATATATATATAGCCTTTTAAAAAAAATTGACCTTGCACTAAAAGTTCTGAAAAGGAAATATCCAGATCCAGATGGTTTCACGAGTAAATCTCACCCAACTGCCTCTAGAAAACGGCAGAGAAGGGAAGACTCTGTGAACCCCGTGTGAGCAAATAACATCCAAAAGACACAGGGAGCGCCCACAACTCAGCAGTCAAAAACACACGAGTTGATATGGTTTTAAAATGGGCGTAAGGCTCGAAAGGCTTTATCCAAAAATACATACAAATGGTCACAAATACAAGGGAAGTGGCTCATTAGTCATCAGAGAAATACACGTCAGAGCCGTGATGAGACACTGCCCACCTGTCAGGATGGCACCGTAAGAAGGTCAGATACAGCCACAGAAAAGGGACCCGAGCCCTGTGGGCGGGGACACAGGCCGGTGCCAGCACCGTGGAAAACAGTGGAGGGGGCCCCGACGGTTAAAGTAGGACCACCATGCGACCCAGCAGTCCCCCGTCCGGGTGTTTATCTGGGGGAAATGGAATCAGAATCTCAGAGTTGTTGGCTCCATGTTCAATGCCGCCTTATCCACAATAACCAAGGCCTGGCAACGACTAAACCTGCATCAGGGAGTGAGTGGACCAAAGACGCGGAGCTCGTCCCACAGAATGTTGCTCAGCCGAGAGAGAGGGGAGGTCCTGCATCAGCCGAGAGAGGGGAGAGAGAGGGGAGGTGCTGCATCAGCCGAGAGAGGGGAGAGAGAGGGGAGATCCTGCATCAGCCGAGAGAGAGGGGAGGTCCTGCAGAGAGAGGGGAGGTCCTGCATCAGCCGAGAGAGGGGAGGTCCTGCATCAGCCGAGAGAGGGGAGGTCCTGCATCAGCCGAGAGAGAGGGGAGGTCCTGCATCAGCCGAGAGAGAGGGGAGGTCCTGCCGTTTGCACCAACAGGGGTGGGCCCGAGGGCATTGTGCAAAGTGAAAAAAGGCAGGCAGAAAAAGACAAATACCACGCAATCTCACTGATCATGAAATCTAAAAAAGTCCAGCTCATGGAAACAGAGAGTAGAAGGCTAGTTTCCAGGGACTGGGAGGTGGAGGAAATAGGGGAGGGAGTATTCCTCAAAGGATACAGACTTTCAGTTATAAGAGGCATAAGTTCTGCGAATCTGGTGTTCAGCATGGGAACTGAAGCTAACTATTAAAACTGTGTCGAATATTTGCAACTTGCTAACACTACAGACGAGAAGAACTAACTCATTGAAAAATACCCTGATGTTGGGAAATATTGAAGGCAAGAGGAGAAGGGGACAACAGAGGACAAGACAGTTGGATGGCATCACTGACTTGATGGACATGAGCTTGAGCAAACGCTGTGAGATTGTGAAGGACAGGGAAGCCTGGCATGCTGCAGTCCATGGGATTGCAGAGTCGGACACGGCTAAGCGAATGAACTGAACTGAACACTACAGAGTTTAAATGTTCTTGCCACACACATGCACACACAAATGGTAACTGTTTAGAGTGGTGGATGTGTTAACTCATCTGAAGTAATCATTTATATATGTATCAAATCATCCTGTCCTGCCCCCTAAACTTACACAGTGTTATTGATCATTATATCTCAATAAAACTGCAAAGAATGAAGGACAAACATAAACAGGCAAAAATGTGTCCTTCGCATTTATTTTTATCCTTTAGAATCTTGCTGTCTCAACACAGAATACAAGCTCTTTTCTATATATATAAAAAAATGCACGAAGATATTTCAAAGGAAGGAAAAAAGCTGTCATTTATTTTAGGTTAATGAGCATTACCTTGCTCAGGAAATGTCCTTTCTATCCACCTCAAGTTCCTTTTAGCATCTGGTTGAGATGAAGAGAAAATGGCCCTCTGATATTAAATCAATATCAAAGAAAGGGGTGTTTTATATCAGGTTTCCCTTCGCCAGCGTCGTCTTCGTGATAATGCTTAGAAATGGTGCTGCAGTCCCTGCCAACAGCAGACTCAAAAGTGCAATTTTGGCAAAATAAATAAAGTGATGGTTAAAAAATGATTTTCTTCTGCAGTGACCTCATAGGTCACCAGATTGTAATCAAGGACACATTTCTTGCAAGGCTTGTAGCACACATGGGAGATGGTTGAAAAGAAAAGCTATTGTCATATATTTAAATGATGCAGGAGATAAAGACAAGAGGGACCTACATTCACAGTGCACCTACTAAACGCAGGAGTAACTTACCTCCCCAGCAGCCCCAGAGGACAGGCTCGCTGGCACCATCTGCGGCTTCCAGTCCGGCTGCATAGCTGTGTGAAGAAGCCTATGACCCCACCAGTGTCTCAGGGGCCTGGCCCAGGGCGGGCGCTCTGAGTGCGGCCCCGGGCCCGCCTCCTCTCCTCCGCAGAGCCTCGCTCTCAGCCGCCGCAGTACCAATTCTCCTTTCTGCTCTCCGACTCCTGTCTGCCTCTGGCCTGCGTACGCCCACCATGTAGTGTTCCTAGAGGTTATCCCCCACCTGAGTCCTTGGTGCTGACACCCTGGGGGCCCATCCCCCAGTAGAGGCCCATGCCCCAACCCCAGGACCCTAAGGCCAGTCTCACACCATCTGTTACTGTATCCTGCAGAGTCTGGGCAGGCGATTGATATTCAACCAGGAAAAGAAGTGCAAAATGCAGCTAAAATGACAGCTCGCGATTTTTTATTCACATCACTTTTTACTGTGGACACTTCCATGGAGCTGGGGATGAGAATAGCTGCCCGGCCCACCTCACGGGGTCGGGAGGAGGAGATGGTGCAGGCAGCGCACAGCCTTCCCCAGGCGCTCAGACACTGAATCGCTGAGCAGCGGCTGTCACTCCCAGGAAGGCTCAGGGCAGCCTTCGGTGAGCAGACCCTCGAACGGCGCTTCCCCGGGGCTCCTGCTGTCCCCGCCCTGTGGCCGGCACCCCGGTCCCCATCACCTCCTAGCTGCCCAGAAGACAGCCTGTGTTCAGGACCATCTCCTTCCTTGGAGTCAGGACCGTGGTCCTCCAGGTCCGTGGAGCTCCCATCACTGTCCTTACCTCCCCCCGGGGTCCCTGCTCCGTCAGCCGCCCCTCGAGGAGCAGAGTGCCCAGGTTCACAGTCTGCTTCACCGAGAGTTTATGTTCCATGTATACACAGCATTGTCATTCCCCCGCCCACCAACTCTGGGGCTGCTCCCTCCCAGGGCGTTGACCCCCCACATCTGGACACCGGAGGAGGCCTCAGGAAGGGGTCTCAGGTGCCAGAGCGGTCAGCTGGCCTGCCAGCCGGTTGGGGTCGAGCCTGCCCTCTGCATGGCGCCCTCAGCTCTCGGCGTGCGGTTCATCCATTGGACCGTGAGCTCCTGGAGAGCAGAGGCCACATCATATTAATACCTGCCTCCCATTGTCGATGTATTGCCTTTCAATAAGTGTTTGCTATGAATAAATAAGTGCTGATTAAATACAATCCAAAAGGCACTTAGGGGAAAGACCATTTATGAGTCCTAAATATTTAGAGGGAGGGCCAAGGGGGATGCATCCGTAAGCGCTTCAGGAGGCTGAGAAAAGGCACCTTTGCTCCTGGCTTTGTCCCCGTGAAAGAGCAGAAGTGGGGTCTGGTATTTCTTAGTTTGGAACATCACCAGTAAGATGAAAGTTGTATTTCTCTGGATCAATAAGCCATCAACCTGCCTTCAGCACTCACCGTTTCCGGGCAGCCTCTCCCTATGAGGTCATCATCGCAGAAGCCCGAGGTCCACCGCCCAGGACTGTGTCCCCACGGTGATGGCACGTGGGCTCCTCAGGCTGACCCCAGGTGGGTGAAACCCCGCTTCCCTCCACCAGACTTGGCGTCTCAACCACCAGTTATCTCTAAAATCTTCCAAACCTCCCTAGTGTTAACTATACAATCAGGGGCCCCATGAATTGACTTGCTGTGAAAAATTAATGCCTTCTTTGGAAAGTAGTAAGTGTGTCTTTTCCAAACCAAGTATGTTTCCCCAGGTTCTGGGATCTGGGTTTAGGATCAGTCTGTTCGCTCTTCTGACCTTCCTGGTTTTACAGAATTCAGCCTTGCGCTCAAAGGCTTCCGTGTTCAGACAGGTAACTCTGTCCTTCCAGCTTGCTTTTTCACAAGAGGTGATTGACTGCAGCCGGTCTTCTCTCAACGCGTCTCTTGCTCCCTCTGTGCCTGGGGTGGACTGTCAGTGTCTCCCCAGCGTTTCCAGCCTGGACTTCAAGCGCTTTGTCCCAGAGGAGGCCGGAGCTCCCATCTACCTTCAGCAGCTCTTCAATGACCTGTGACATTTCTCTGTACTCACTGGGCTCATAAGCTGTCTACAAGACACCAGAGCATTTTCTATCTTCTGAATTTCCTCCCATCATGCATGCAAACAAATCACTCACAAGCCCTGGCAAGACCCTCTGGGATCTTCCAGTTTTCAAAATGCATGTGGAATTGCTTCTTTCTTACTTCAAGCGGTGGCGGATCCAAGGGATCATGGAGCCAGTAAGGACCTAGATGTCTCCTATGGATTTTTTTTTTTTTTTTGCCTGTGTGACTTCCCTGTGGCTCAGACAATAAAGAATCTGCCTGCAATTCAGGAGAGCCAGGTTGGGAAGATCCCCTGGAGAAGGGAACAGAACCCACTCCAGTCTTCTTGCCTGGAGAATCCCATGGACAGAGGAGCCTGGCGTGTACAGTCCGTGGGGTCGCAAACAGTCAGACATGACTGAGCAACTAGCGCACACACAACATTCATTTATTTGCACAGCTGTTTTTATGTTTCAGCGTTGTGTTTCGATGGCGCGTTACTATGACAGGCTCTCCTAAATCATGAACCACGGCTAAATGGATTTATTGGGGAAAAAGAGAAATGTGATCCCGACGACTCAGATGATGGCGTGCTACGCTCGCGGCCAGCGAGTGAAGCACGTAACACGCGAACTCATCAGTATCTTAGGTAAACCTGGACCACTCATCTATTACGACGAAACGATGTCATTAGGATTTTCCCGATCCTATAGTTTTGTCTTATTTAATTTCCTATAAGGAGCTCATACGTAATTTTATATTTGCACATATCTGAAGTGTTAGTCGCTCAGTCATGTCTGACTCTTTGTGACCCCGTGGACTGTAGCCCACCAGGCGCCTCTGTCCATGGGATTCTCCAGGCCAGAATACTGGAGTGGGTAGCCATTTCCTTCTCTAGGGGATCTTCCTGACCCCAGGATCAAACCTGGGTCTCCTGCATTGCAGGCAGATTCTTTATCATCTGA